AACAAAGGCAACTTTCAGAGCAGAAAGTGACAGAGTATTAATTGTATCTTGCGGAAATCCACGTCTCTTGCACATGAAACCTGCCTTGTGTATCACTGGAGGGCAGAACCGTGAGGAAAAGAATTGCTTTCCACGGCTGAGCTTCTACTCAATGCTGGGTGTTTAAAACACGGTGTGGACTCAGTGGCTGTGAACAGGCCTGAGACGTCGTGTGAGGAAGGTAGGTTTCCAGGCTCCTGGCCAAAAGCAGATTCTACGGAACTTGTCACAAAATGCAAAACTGTAATATAAACATCTCCAAGACACTTAGAAAGTAGCAATGGACATCTTCGCGGAGGAGGAGGGAAAACAAGCATAAAGGTATTCTCAGCCTTCCGGGCGTGTGAGAAGTCGGCCGTTCTGACCCCTCTCTGATGGCTAAATTTTCATTACCCGGTAAGAACAGAGGGGCCCCTGGAGATTCTATCCTGCCACCGACTGACTGAGGACCAAGTTCTTTATGTGTATTTATTTATTTGTTTATTTATTTTGTTTATTTATTTTGAGACGGAGTCTCGCTCTGTTACCCAGTGCAGTGCCGCGATCTTGGCTCACTGCAAGCTCCGCCTCCCGGGTTCATGCCATTCTCCTGCCTCAGCCTCCCGAGTAGCTGGAATTACAGGCACCCACCACCACGCCTGGCTAATTTTTGTATTTTTAGTAGAGACGAGGTTTCACCGTGTTGGTCAGGCTGGTCTCGAATTCCTGGCCTCGTGATCTGCCCACCTCGGCCTCCCAAAGTGCTGGGATGACAGGCGTGAGCCACCTCCCCCAGCTTTCTTAATGAGCTGTGAAAAATCAATGGTTCTAGGAATAAGACCAGCATATATTATTTACTTAAATAAGGATTTATGATTTTCATGTTTATTAAAACTTTTTTTCAAAGGCAGCGTTCTATTTAAATAAAGGGTGGAAAAAGCTGTGCACAGGTCAGGGCTCTGTGCTGGCTTCTGCTGGCTGTAGTTTTGTATCTGCTGGGGCAGGTGGACTTCCCAGGCAGTCTTCTGGCTTTTCTGTCTTTCTTCTTTTCTCCAACACAATTGACCTGTTCTCACCCTTTCCGCGTGCTCATCTACCCTTATCCTCATCGTCTCGTGCAAGAACCCTGATGAACTATGAGACTTTTTTTTTTTTTTTTAAGACGGAGTCTCACTCTGTCACCCAGGCTGGAGTGCAGTGGTGCGATCTCGGCTCACCGCAACCTCCGCCTC